TGTGAGCGCTGCGAGTGAGAGGCTGATTGGACCTGAATGTTACAAATCACATAATTCTGAGGGTAATCAGGTAAATTGTTCTTAATCACATGAATTATAACGTTCCCAAATCACACCAACAACAGGAAAAGCCCCTCCAGATATTAAAATTCCACATTGTTATAAAATACTCAGAGGAAGGCCTCTAACATAAATAAAGTTAATTTGACTTGTTGATAGCAACTGATTTTAAATGGTCCTAGTCTAGTTTATATTGGAAAAGATCCACTGATAGACTGTCATTGCAATCCTCAAAGTCAGCCCCTGGAGGATAGCTGCCAAGTCCCGGGGCAGGAGATCATTCAACCATTAAATGCTGCCTGACATAAAGATGAGGTGGTGTAAAATTCTCTCTGAAATGTTTATATATTGGCAACTCTCCGTTTTGAGGGAGGAAAAAACACCCTTGCACTTTATATTTAAAAAAAAAAATAACCTGTTTTTCCTCTCTCTCAAAGCTCTCCTCTAATTGCAAACATAAATGTTACTTTAGAAGCACTCGCTAGCATTTACTCCCCTTGCCCATGCACACCCAAACAAATGTTGTTTCCACATGCGGTATTTGCATGATTTCCAAGTGGCGATGATGGTTTCTGAAAGGTTGTTGGGTGTTCTTTGTTCCTAGTTTTTCATAAGCAAGATTGCTGCCCCGCTGATGCTAATTCAAAAAGCTGCAGAGCTCCGCTTTCCCTTGTTGTGGCTATGGCATGTAATATTCCAAAAAAGAAAGAAAGAGAGGAAACAGCTGGTTTATATTTATCAGGAAAAAAAGAAAAAAAAAAAAAAGCTTGTTTTGGACCCAAAATATTAAATGGCCACCAGACTCTGAGGACCTGCTAACGAGAAAACTGAGTAGCTGCAGTAGTTGGTCTTTATTGCTTACCAGGGAATAGAGGAAGGTAGAGGGGGCTGTGGCACAGGAAGGGAGGCAAAGGTATGGATGGCTTAAGGAAGATACCTAGGTCAACAGACAAAATATTATTTTGCACCTGCCATGCCATCATCCACAAGGGATCTTCCTGCACTTAGCCAAAAATACATGGGTTAGGCTGGATATAAGCAACACAGACATCTCTGGTGATCTGAAGTCTACATTTTCTACTGTTTCTAGTCACCTGCCATAATATTTCCTTCTTTCATTCTGTTTTAATGCAGACCACCAATTGCCAAGCCATTCTGACCTGACCACCAGGACAATCCCAACGATAAGCACTTGAGCAACAGAGGCTCGGCTGTCCCTGCAGAATGACTGAGCCACCCAGCCTCACTTGCTGCACCTTTCCTCGAGCTCTCGGTGGCTGCCCCCTAGGGTTATTGGTCCTCTGTGGGCTTCCCAAGACCATGTCCTGGAGGGTGCTCCACCTTCCTGTCCTCCCAAAGGCAACTGTTTCAGACAGCCACCAGTGCTAGACTTAGTGCTGGAACAGAAGGGGTGTCCCTGCAGAATGACTGAGCCACCCAGCCTCACTTGCTGCACCTTTCCTCGAGCTCTCGGTGGCTGCCCCCTAGGGTTATTGGTCCTCTGTGGGCTTCCCAAGACCATGTCCTGGAGGGTGCTCCACCTTCCTGTCCTCCCAAAGGCAACTGTTTCAGACAGCCACCAGTGCTAGACTTAGTGCTGGAACAGAACTGGTGTGTCATGCTACTGTTTCTTCATCAAAGACCCCCAAAATACAAATTGCTGTAGACACGTAAATACTCGGAGTATATTTGATCCTCACACAGTCATCAATCCTGCCTTGGAGGATGTTTCTAATGCAGAGAAGGCTGCAAGGAGCTCAGCTGTTTCCCTAAGAAGTATTTTTCCTCCAAGGGGATTTCTTCAGAGGGTGGAGAGATACAGACCATTGTGAACATTATGGCTACATTGGTCAGGATACACGCCGTACAGGGAGACCACCTTCCACCTGGGGATCTAAGCCATCCTCAGTCACCTCAAGTGAGCTTTTTTTCTTTTAATTATTTTATTTTCTTCAGTTAGTGTTTGGTATTTTTCCCCACAGTAGGTTACTGTTGCCAACAGCCTCCCAGAACTTTTCCACAGCATTAAAGAGAACTGAAGCATCTTTGAAAACAGAGGAAATATTACAGATATATCTGCTGGAAGGGCAGGACCAAAACACTGGTCCTATAGGCCTTGCATGGCCTTTTATAGAAGGCCATTATTTATTTACACATTTAATTCCTTTGACAATTCACAAATGGGCTTCCTGGCCCGAAACAGATTAACCCAGGAGGTTTTATCATCAAATTTAACCCCCGACAACAGAAGCACACGAAGCTCTGACCAGAGCATCGCAAGCAAAGATCCAACAACCACCTAACCAGACACAGACTTTCAGGGAACACACCAGCCCCTGCTGGTTTCACGGTGGCTGCTTCTAGTGGTTTAACCTGGCTGGGAACTCAGCCCCACGCAGCCGCTCGCTCACTCCCCCCGCCCTCAGTGGGATGGGGGAGAGAATCTGGAAGGGAAAAAAAAGGTTAGAGCTGTGGGCTGAGATAAAGACAGTTGAATAAGAGAAAATAATAATAATAGTAATAATGAGAATGGTAACAGAATATACAGAATACACAAAACGAATGATGCACAACGCAATTGCTCACCACCCGCTGACCGATGCCCAGCCCGGCCCGAGCCGCAATCACTCCCTGAGACGCGATCACTCTCACCGCAACCGACCGATCGACCGACCCCCCCCCGAGCATGACGTTCTGTGGTCTGGAATAGCTCTTTGGTCAGTTTGGGTCAGCTGTCCTGGCTGTGCTCCCTCCCAGCTTGTTATGCACCTGGGCGAGCAGGAGAAGCTCAAAAAGTCCTTGAGTAGTCTCAGCACTACTTGGCAACAGCTGAAAACATCAGTGTGTTATCAACATTCTTCTGGTACTACATCCAAAACACAGCACTATGCTAGCTGCTATGAAGAAAATTAACTCTATCCCAGCCGAAACCAGGACCCTTCTACATCTGGGCAACAATTAATCACAGAAATGGGAGAGGCACAGTAGAAATGGCAGATGAAGGATTTAGCCAGCTACCCTTGCCATGGCACGGCAAACTACGTATGGTCTTCTGCACAACGTATAGCGTTTCCCCAGGTATGGTTTCAAGGTAAAGCAGCTGCGCAGCGCTGCAATGTATTTATTCATACCATGTATGTCATGCCCAGCTCTTGTTTCAGGTGCCGGTGACGTTTCACCACCAGAACCCATTTTCATGATGAGGGCTTGCCCTTTGTAAAAATCATATGAAAAATATATGACAGCTTCTGGGGTTTTGGGTTAGGAGCTGTGCATTGCCTACAGCTTGCATAATGTAAAGGAGTCAGAACACAAGAACACAGATGGCTAAGGGTTGTGGGACAAAATAAATTAATTATGAAGTCAGATTCCGGAGAACTGAAAAAAAGAAGAGGGATAAATAGAGGAAGCAATTTTAATCTGAAAAACCAGCTCACAAGTAAACAAAGACACTGTATTTTATACTTTAGACATGCTTTAGACTGTGGTAAAATAAGAAATTCTCAAATAAGGCAGAGAAAATTTTAGAGAGACCACAATATTTTTAAAGAGCATTTACACGATGATTTACTATTTATCCACAGGGTTTAGATAACGCATATTGCTTCATAATTTGCTGTTGGCTAAGTTTAATTAGTATCCCTCTGTAAAGCTGTCTTTTTATTTCTGCTGTAACTCACTACTTCAGCTTACGCACAGTACTGCAAACCTAAGGAACAAGATCCTGGGGTGTTCCCATTTGCAGAAATTTCACTCAAGTAATACACCTCTGAGAAATACTTGAGAAAAATCTTCACAATTTCCCCAGAAGAAAAGAGTCCGTTAAATTTTATGCCAAAGGCCTAATTTAAGAAAGTATACATCCTGAATGAGTCCGGGTGTAAACTGAATCTCCGGTCTTCTACTCAGGAGGTGAGAAATTAATTTCACTTTGAAATTATTTCAGAAGTTCTGACCCCAAGCAGAAGCTCACGGGACAACCACAACCACCAAGTCTTTCATTGCCGCAGGGCACTGGAAGATTTCAGCATGTCTGACCACATCTTTACTGGGGAGGAAAAAGGAAAAAAAAAAAAATAAATCTACAAAGCTTTAATCAAAAATCTAAACTAAATCTCTCCCAACTGCCTCTATCCTTCTAATCCCACATTACGTTTGCGTAAAGATATCAATGTGTGTCACTGGGATTCTTGAAATACACTGTTTGATTAATATCATATGCTACCAATTAATAATTACGTGCAATTCTGCTTCAGACTTAATGAAGGCAAGACAAGGTGGTCATGGCAGTATGACCTGCTGTCTGTACCATGGGCATCGCGTTCAGAAGTGTCTACAGAAGGCATGGCGTGCTCTCAGCTTGCACAGACAGCAAAGCACCCGCCAGCAACAACAGCAAGTACAAGAATAAATATCTAGGAAAACAAGGCCTCAAAACCTGAAATAAGTCACAGGAAAAAAAAAAAAAAAAAAAGGGAGCTTATGGGATTTGTCCAAACCTTGGTCCCTGGGATAGGGAGGAACCACTAGATGACAACGTCTGTACAAAGCAACACCCCCAGGCTACATGAAAAGTGGTCACCACCAACCCCTGCTCCAAATCTATCCAACGTGGGGCATATTCTTGCCTGACCTTAAACCTATCAGCCAACGTGACTCTAGGATGCAACCCAGAGACACAAACCAGTCACCTGAGAGCATTCCCTGGACCGCGCGAAGTCCTGCACTGTGGCCAGTCTCCGATCAAAACCAGCCTTGAATTTCTGCAGAAGCCATGGGAACATAAATAGTCACAGACACTTCTAAATTGGTTAGGACTATGATGGAAAACTCAAGAATAGATTCAAAACATGACCTTGCTTTATTTGTTCAAGGAGAAATGAAAAAGACAGAGAGCTTTGTTCTATCCGTGTGTGTGTGTGTGTG